CGTCATTGTTGTTTGGCGGGTCCGGGCTGGGGATTCGAACCCGCCACCTTAGGTGTACATGGCTGGCGCCTTAGCCGGTTGAGCTATAGGCGCCGAGCCTCCTTTCTTTTTATGTTTAGAAAACCTTAAAAGAAATGTTCCCTATCGAGGCGGGAGAAATCAACTCAGAGAACAGGATCATCCCCCACCTCCCAGGTGAGAAGCAGATCCTGGGTCCCCTCACCCACCCTCTTAGTGGTCCCTGGCTACTCCCAGCCTTTCTCTGAACATTGCTGGCCACCAAACTGGCCAGTGTGCTCAAGAGTCTTCTGGTGCCAGCCCCCAGGTGGTATGATGGGCAGCGGACGGCTGAGAGCCGCCAGGGCACACTCACTGAGTACTGTGCTGCACTCATGGGGTTGCCCAGCAAGATCTCCCGCTGCCCCCACCTCCTGGAGTTCTTCAAAGTGCGCCCCGATGACCTCAAGCTCCCCACAGACAGCCAGTGAGTGGTCTCTTCTCCCCACTGGGCATGGGAGGGAATGGGGAAGGAATATTCCCTACTTTATAGGCAGGACGCTGAAGCTCAGAGAGGGACAGCCACCTGTCCAGGGTCACACAGCTGCAAAGAGGAGGCGGCAGGATTCCAACTCTGGCTGTGTAAACTGCCAAGTCTCCCCCTGGACCCCTTGGAGTCTTGTAGTGCTGCGGGGCACTCTAGGCTGGGGGCTGAAGTCCTGCATCCTCATCCTGACCCTACAGCCACCTGGCTATGGGACCCAGAATGAGTCACCACCATCTGTAACAGGAGGTTCCCCATCTGTAACAGGTTGTAAGGACCAGCCCTGGAGGGTGTGGGGCATACCTCTGTCTTGGGCCCCTGCCCTGGATCTCCCATGCCCAGGGTTCTGTATGGAAGGCACCTGAGCTGGGCAGACAGGGGAGGTCCCCCTCTCTATCCTTATCTGGTCACTGAAGCTCAGGGGGGAAGCCTGGAGGACAGGATTGCCCCTTGGGAAGACAGAGATGGCATCGCCCAGGCCAGCACTTACTGAGCTTTGCAGTGCCCCCCCTCCACCCAAGGAAGGGGAGCTGTCACCGGTGGGAGGGGCTGGGAATAGTGTGGGGGTTCTGTGCCCATTGCCTGCTCTCTCTCAAGGCTCCAGAAGATGGGAGATGGCTGAGGAGCTGACAAGAGTCACTCCCAAGCTGAGGGCATCTTGGGAGCTGGTGGGAGGAAGAGGGCCTCACTTTCTTCTACAGATCATGCTGCCACCTTGGGGTCTGCAGGAGGCTGGGCTGTGTCCTCCCACTGTCCCTCCTTTGGGCATTTGGCACCAAGCAGAGGTCCCCTCGGTCATTCTCCAGAGCCCTTCCCTTGCCAGCCCAGTCACTCCCTGCTCTCTGTAGTGTCCCCATTTCTTTTGTTCTTTTTTCTCTTGAGAAGTTCTTCCAAAGGTCTCCCCAAAGCTGCTCCTTCCCAGTGGGGGGCCAGGTGTCTGACCAGACCATTTATTCTTTTCCTAGGTCGAAAAAGCCGGAGACATATCTGATGCCCAAAGATGGCAAGAGTAACGCGGCGGGTGAGAGGCAAGGGCACCCCCTGGGTGCGGGGAAGGGAGCAGGAGTTGGGGGCAGGCCAGAGGGCTCCTCGCTGCCATACAGAAGAGCTAGGTCTCTGTGGGGGGGGAGTCACTGAAGAGTGGAGGGCTCTCTTGCAGGTGGCAGTGCATCATTACCTCTGTGGGTGCAGAGCCTGGCACAGACCATTTCTCCCAGTAGCCCAGGGGGTGTTTGTGGCCGAATGCACGAACAGGTTCAGGGTGGCCTCTAGAGGTGACACCAGGGCAGTTTTAATCTTTGTTTTGCAATAATTGTAAATAATGAAACTGAACACTTGTGGAGCACTTTGTGCCAGGCACCATTCCAAAGGCAGTAGCTCACATGATCGTCCCCAAAGTGATAGGAAGTAGGTACTACTCTGCCATTATGCCCAGTGTACAGCTGGGCACATTGAGGCTTGGATGTAAGTGGAGGTCACAGAGCTACTGAGAGGTGCAGCAGGATTTGAACCAGTGTGACATCCAGACTCTGGGTTGCTCTAAATGTGGCTGGGACATGCAGTGTAGGTAGCCAGGGCTGCCACAACAAAGAACTACTGGCTGGCCTAAAAGACAGAAATGAGTTTTCTTGCAGCTGTGAAGGCTGGAGGGCCTGCACCAAAGTGCTGACAGGACTGGTTTAGGCCAAGGTCTCTGTGGCCTACGGCTGTCCTCATGTGGCCTTTTCTCCGTGCGTGTACATCGCTGGTGTCTCTTCCTCTTACTGTAGGGACACCTGCCATATTGGATTAGGGCTCTTCTCTTGTGACCTAATTTTAACTGAATTGCCTCCTAGAAGACTCTGTCTCCAAATACAGTCACATTCTAAGGTGCTGGGGGTTAGGGCTTTAATTTATGGATTTGGGGGACACAATTCAGTCCACAGCAAGCACATCTGCATATCTGGGGGGTGTTGGTGGGGACTCAGGTCCCACTGCACACCTGTCGAGTCAAGGTCTATGTTTAGCAAGGTCCCAGGGGATTGGGCGAACATTTAAGTCAGGAAAGACCACTCAAAGTCACTCACTGGCCTCATCAAGTGAGAACAAGGACATGTTTGAAGTGGGGGGCCAGAGCCCAGAGCAGGCAGGGCACTCAAGAAATGTGGGACTGCAAAGACCAGGGATGGCAGTGCCTGTTCCGGTGGCTGGCAGGAGGGAACTGCCCCAGAAGAGCCCACTCACTCAACCTTCCCTCTGCCCCAGACATCACAGGCCCCATCATCCTGCAGACGTACCGCGCCATCGCCGACTATGAGAAGAGCTCAGGCTCTGAGATGGCTCTGGCCACAGGTGATGTGGTAGATGTCGTGGAGAAGAGTGAGAGTGGTAAGGTCCTCATCCCATGGGGCTTAGGCAGCCGTTTGCCTCCTTATGTCCTGGCCCAAAGGTGGGAGGTCCCGGCTCTTTCAGGGGCCCTCAATGTCCTCCCCACATTTCGGGTCACCATGAGTGTGCACCCAGGGGTGGCTGTGGGTATCTGTGCACAGTCCATGCTGTGACTGTGCATGTGTAGAGCAGCCTATTTGGGGCCCTCCTCATGTAAAGTGGTTCACGGCTGTAATTCTGTGAGCCCGTGTGTATCGGTGTGTGGAATTTCAGTGTCAGAGTGTGGTGAAGGTGTCATTCGGTGTCCGAGTGCTTTGGTATCTGTGTGTCTTTACTACCCATGATGGCTGAGGAGAGCTGCCAGGTCCTGGCTCTCTCCACCTTCCTACCTGGCACAGGCTGGTGGTTCTGCCAAATGAAGGCAAAGCGTGGCTGGGTCCCAGCGTCCTTCTTGGAACCCCTGGACAGTCCCGATGAAGCAGAGGATCCGGAGCCCAACTATGCAGGTGCCTGCTGCCCCAAGGGCACAGTGGTGGGAGGAAGAGGAGGGAGGAGAGTGGGAGTATTGAGAACTACTTTGGGGTCTGGCCTGATTGCTGGCGGGGCAGAGGGGAAGGTAGGGCTGAGCCCCAATGCCTCTGGCGTGGGGGCCCAGGTGTCATGATGCCCTTGATCAGGACAGGGAACTGGGAGGTGGAGCAGAGAATGGTGGAGGGGGAGTTCAGCCTGGGACATGTGTTAGCCCCCAACCTGGGTCCAGGTCCAGTGGGAAGCTTAATCATGAGTTGACTGGAGGCTTAGGGAGGTAGCAGTGTAAGCCCTAACCCGAAGAGGCTGGATGGGGCTTACATAAAGTTGACGTTAGAATTGGTTGTTCATATGTTACAACTGAGGGATTTAACCATTTGATACGGATTTATGACTCCTCTCTAACACTGGGAGGGGCCTGCGTTCCCATGTGCCAACAGCTGGTGGGAGTTGAGCAGCTCCTGGTGCTCCCCCACGCACGTCTCATATTGGAGTGCCTGGCCAGGCCTCTCTCATTTCAGAGCTCCTGGCCTGGCCTCCTGTGTGGATGGTAGTGGATGGGAGTAGGCAGCACACCTCGGTGCAGTGGGCAGAAGTCCAAAATGTGCCCTGGCAGCAGGCGGCAGGAGGATTAGGGGGAGAGGCAGAGCAGGGGACTGAGGACTCCAGGGGGTTCTGGAGCAACTGGGAGAGCCTGAGGCCCAGAGAGGAGAGGAGATGTGGCAGGCAGACCCTTACACCATGTCCTATGCCCCACCATGGCCAGGTGAACCCTATATCACCATCAAAGCCTACACTGCCGTGGAGGAAGACGAGGTGTCCCTGCTTGAGGGTGAAAACATCGAGGTCATTCATAAGCTGCTGGATGGATGGTGGGTCATCAGGTAGGACAGTCCCTCCCCCAGCTCCGCTGACTTGTCTGTGTGACTCTGGGTAAGCCACTGCCCCTCCCTGGGCTGTTTCCATCTTGGTAGCAGGTGAGTGCTGAGCCCACCCTGCTTGTCTTGTGGGGTTCACTGTCCTTGTCCAAATGGGTATATTTTTCCTTTGTGAGTTAATAGCTCTTTCTGACTGGTCCATTATTCCTTCTGTAGCAACATGGTGAATGAATGATTACATTCCCTTTCCTTTTAAAACTTTCATTGCGGCTCGGCACCTATAGCTCAACCGGCTAAGGCGCCAGCCACGTACACCTAAGGTGGCGGGTTCGAATCCCCAGCCCGG